TGACACTGATTTTCCATTTGTGGTAGTGGCGTCAAGTTTCCCTTTAAGTAAAAAAAAAAAAAAAGAAAAGAAAAACCAAAACATTAAAGTAATATGTGAATGGATTTAAATAGAAATATTAAGTAAATAGTATTTACCAGTGATACATTCTGGATATATCAAAGATCAGGCAAGTGGTTTTAAAAAAAAGCAAGATTTTTGGCAATCTTTCTGGTGGTTCTGAGATGAAAGTAAGTTTGCCCAGTGCTGTGTGGGCATTGTGACGGCTGTTAAAAGAGCTGTCTGCTAGGCGGGCAGTTGTTTAAGGAGAATGAGAGAAGGATTCCAGCTACTTAGAGAAATGTTTCACTGATGAGCTGTTTGCCTGAGATTTACTGTCAAATACCCAGAGGACTGGGAAGTAAATGATTATAAATTACCTTCGTTTTCCCTGCTAGCTGTTAAACTTTCAAAATCTTGGGGGAAGAAAATAGAAAGCCTGCTGCTTGGGCTAATTAAAACCAATGTAAATGCTTTGAAAGCTTTTGCTCAGCAAAGCAGCCTTTTCTGGTTTTAACTGCTGCCGGGGAGTGTGAGGGACCTGTGTTTGCATGGCGGGGTTCTGTGACTTTTCACAGCCCTGACGGGGTGTTTCTGATAAGATGTAATAATGCAGGTTTTCTGATAAGGCCGGAATTTTTGCTAAGAGACTTTTGGTGTTTTGTTTTGCTGGTTCGCAGTGTCGGGGATTATCAGAATGTTGCTATGGATTTGACGTTAATCTCTTTCTAGACTAAAAATCTATGCTCTGTTACCTGCCAGGAAGGTGTGTGTGTATGTGTGCACGTGCATGTGTGTGTATGTGCTTGCATGCCCAAATACACATTTATATTGACTCGAAGCTTTTACAAGAACTCTAGACCCTACAGACATTAGCTGGAGAAATCAAAGGATTTCACAGCCAGAAGCAACCAAGGAGACGGACCCAGCTTAACACCACCCTGTTATAAATGAGAAGGTTGAGACATAGAGTTGGTCGGGTGTGGGACTTTTCCAAGGCCACACAGCTGGTTAGTGGCAGTGTAGGAGTGGGTCTCAATTTCCTGCTTCCCAAACCAGGGTGTCCTGACTATAGATCATGTTATGCCACCCTCCACCACCACCTTTAAAGTAAAATAAAAACCTGTTTCTTTTGGGAATTATGTTTCTTTTCCCAACGTAATACAGAACTCAGCCTCCATTCTGCGGTACCACTGCCCGCTAATTACTTAGCCTCCCTCTTTGGAGAAAGTCACTGTTATCTGTAACTTCCACAGAAAGCCTATGTATCCAGCAGCCGTGTGTGTGTGTGTGTGTGTGTGTGTGTGTGTGTGTGTGTGCACATTCTCTCACCCTCTGTTTTTATACTGTATGCATCTTTCTTTTCTCCTTTAATGCTATATCTTGTGGTCATTCCATATCCATGCAGAAAGAACTTTTTCAACCGTTTTTAAGAGCTGTATGGTATCCCATTGTATGAACGAACCAGGATTTAACCCATCCCCAAGTGATGGACATTAGGTTGCTTCTAGTCTTTTGGGATTATAAACAAGGCAGCACTGACTAATCTTATGCACACTTTATTTTGCACATATGAGAGTATATCTGCAGGATACATTTCTAAAAGCGACATTGCTTGGTTCCAAGGATATGTGTGTTGGGAGTTTTCATACGTTATTACCAAATTACCTTCTCTTGAGGTTGTATCTTCCTACCTTTTGGTTTGGATATTAGCATCTTCAAGGAGTAGTTTAAATATTTCACACGGACTTCTCTGAACTCGCTTTATTTGTTCATTCAGCCAGTCAACAAATATGTTTTTGAGGGCCTGCTTTGTGGCAGGTCGTATCCAGGTGCTAGGAGTACATTGGGGAGGGAGAGAGTCCTTATGGAATTGACTGATTGCTGGAGGTAGGGCTGGAGGTGGTGGGAGAGACCAACAGTAAACAAATAACTTCAGAATTACTTAACTGGAACTCTGAGAAGTGCATGGAGCAGATCAGGGAAGTGTGAGTGGGGTCTGATGGAATTGAGGAGATCAGGAAGCCTTCCAGAGCACATGACACTTGAGCTGGAGGAAATGAATGGCTTTAGTTATGTAGAGAAAGGGCCTGGGTATGGGTGGGGGAGGGGCAGTGGAGGCACAAGGAACAGCAAGTGCAAAGGTCCTGAGGCAGAAAGGATCTCAGTGCTTTCTATGAACAGAAAGACAGCCAGTTTGGCTGGAATCCAGAAAGAGGTGTGAGAGCAGAGAGAGGTGAGGCTAGAGGGGCAGGTAGGCCCCAGATAGGCTGGCCTTACTAGAGTTTGTTTAACTTTACCCTAAGAGCTATGGGAAGCCATTTCAGAGCTCTCACCTGGGGTGAGGGTACCATCTGGACCCTGTGCAATCAGCTCAGCTAAACCAGACAGCACGTACCCCAGGATGGCCCAGAAAGGGCTCCAAGGAGATAAAGGATCACCTGTGTAGTCGCCCTACTCCCCAAGGCACGGGCCAGTCACACAACTTTAGGACACGATTGTGGCCCTCGGACATGATTCTTTCTTTTGCATATTAGTCTCTCAACAAATGTTTATGGACGGCCTGCAAGTGCCTGTGCTAGGTGCTTGGCAAGCAATGCTGAACCACTATAGACACGATTCCAACCTCGGTGGAGCATGGAGTCTAGTGCGGGGGTCTCAAACTTCTATAAAGGGCCAGATGGTAGATAGTTTAGGCTTTTATGGGCCATACAGTCTCTATGGCAACTACCAACTCTGCTGTTGTAGTGCAAAAGCAAGCCACCGACCATATGTAGACAAATAGGAGTGGCTGTGTTGCAATAAAACTTTATTCAGAAACACAATCTGTGGGCCGGATTTGGCTCATGGGCTGTAGTTTGCCGGTCCCTGATCTAGTGGGATGAGATTTCCTACATAGATAAATATCTGGTGTGATGTGTGCTGGTAACTGGTGTTGATGGAGAAAAGATGGCAGGGAAAAGGGGTGAAGAATGACCCTGTGGCAGGGATGGAAAGGACCTTTCTGATGGGCCAGTCTAAGGAGGGGTTGACTGGGCAGACACATGATGACGTTAAGGGAAGCAGCCATGTGAAGATCTTGGGGGCAGAGTTTCCAGGTAGAGGGACCAACACTCAAGAACTCTGAAGCAGACTCAGATGGAAGAACAATGAAGGTGTCAGTGGGGCTGTCGCTGAGTCAGGTTGGCGGGGAGGCTGGGAGTGGCGAGACGGGCTGGGGCCCAGGACAAGTGTGTTAAGGACTTTATATCACCTCTGAAGTGGATTTCAAGCCTTTAAAGTGGATTTTGCAAATGGCCATTTCCAGACAGCTGTGTGGAGAACAACCTAGAGAGGGCAGGGAATGTGGAGGACCAGGGAGGAGGTGGCCTCTGTGGCCCAGGTGGGAGAGGATGGTGGCTTGGACCAGGGTGGTTGTGTGGAGAGGGGGTGACACATGAATTTGGTTTCTATCTCACAGTAGAGGGGTCAGGATTTACTGATGGACTGGACGCATGAGACAGAGGGGTCAAGGCCGCATCAAGTGACGACACAGTAGGTGGAGGGGCCTCTGCTGAGCTGGGGCGCTTGAAGGAGGAGGGGAGTGAGGGATAGTGGGAGTGGATAGCAGGTTCCCTCACTGATTCCACTCTCTAGCCATGGGGCCTTTCGAGGTGGCAGCAGAAACCCGAGCTAGATGGCCACGGTTAAAGAACAAATGAGGTCGTTCATTGCATCCCCTGGTTTTGATAGTTTGGGAGACTCTGTATAGCCAGGGCCTTGCCTTTTGAGGGTCAAGTGGCTTGTCTGTGGGATCCTGCTAATTCTGTCTTCAGGTGAATCTCTTCCCATCCTGGGGCCTCAGTTTTCTCATCTGTAAAAGGCCACAAATGAGTCAGGAGTCCCGGTTCTGAATTAAGCCACTTCTGACACTCAGGCATGACCATATGGGTTTTTTTTTTTAAAGATTTTTATTGGGGAATTGGGGGGAAGGGGAACAGACAAGTTGCTGTCGTTTTGTTCTTAAGCCTAGTTGTGGAGAACGTTGCTTCACTGGCCCAAGTTGGCACCATCACTGCGCTCTTCCTGGGCGAGGCAGATCAGTCGCCAGCTTCTGGAGCGGCTGCTGGCCACTCACGCTGGCTGCTGGCTATACACGGTAGCCCATGGCAACCCACGTGCCGTAGCAAGCGACTCACGGCATCCTAGCTCCAGGTCGAGCTGTTGTTCAGCATCTTAGCTGTGGAGGGCAGTGTCACTGGCCCTCATATGTGGGATCCGAACTGGGGCCCTCTGGCGTCCCAAGCCAGCTCTTAACCATCGCGCCACTCGGCCGGCCCTGAACATGTGGGGTTTGAACCCAGAGGCTTATGGACTCCAGGCCAGCGCAGCCTCCCTCTGCTCTTGTATCTGTGTCAGGCATGTAGAATGATGAGATGGGCCTCGGTCAGTGTTTTCCAAACTGTGAGTCCCAACTGGTGGGACAGGAAATCTATTTCATGGGGTGTGACCAGCATTTAAACAGTGTAACCCCAGATAGGAGGGAAGATAAGAGTGTATCATATATAGCAGGGTAAGTATTGATTTGTGAAGCTTTTGTTTCAGCTGTGAGTGGATATGATGGTGTGAACTAGGTTGTGAAATCAAATGCATTTCTTCTGAGGGTCCCATTTGGATAAAGGTTTGGAAGCCATTAGCCCAGCGGGTCATCCAGGCCTCCGGCCAATGCTGCCTAGCTAGGCGGAGCTGTGCTGGGTTCACCTGCCCTAAAACCCTTTGGCTTTGATGTCACTCTTCAAAGAATCTGGGATGAAGGGGCCTCCTTTTCCTTCTGGTGAGGGGAGGAGGTTCCAACTTGGGGTTTGGCGTGGTGGGGATTTAAAAAAAATAAAATAACAGGCGACAAACCCAAGCTGTGATTGCTCTCATCCGGAGTTCTGTTTTAGAGGCTTAAAAAGACCCCTCCCCCCTTCTCTTTCCAGAAGAACCGAATGCACATAAGGTCGTCTGCCCACCCTCCGGACTTGCATACTCTGATGATATCCTGGACTATGGCCCCCTCCCCAGTCTCGCTGGCGAGCCCCCCGGCCGGTTCGGAGAGCCGGATAGGCTAGGGCCCCAGAACTTTCTGAGCCCGGCCAAGCCAGCAGGGGCCTCGGGCCTGAGCCCTCGGATCGAGATCACTCCGTCCCACGAACTGATGCAGGCAGGGGGGCCCCTCCGCGTGAGAGACACTGGCCTCCTGGGCGAGCAGGCGCCCCTGGCAGGGGTGGCCGCCAGCCCGAGGTTCACCCTGCCCGTGCCCGGCTTCGAGGGCTACCGCGAGCCGCTTTGCTTGAGCCCCGCTAGCAGCGGTTCCTCTGCCAGCTTCATTTCCGACACCTTCTCCCCCTGCACCTCGCCCTGCGTCTCGCCCAATAACGGCGGCGGGCCGGACGACCTGTGTCCCCAGTTTCAAAACATCCCTGCTCATTATTCCCCCAGAACCTCGCCAATAATGTCACCTCGAACCAGCCTCGCTGAGGACAGCTGCCTGGGCCGCCACTCGCCCGTGCCCCGTCCGGCCTCCCGCTCCTCGTCTCCTGGTGCCAAGCGGAGGCATTCGTGCGCCGGGGTCTTGGTTGCCCCACTGCCCGGAGCCTCACCCCAGCGCTCCCGCAGCCCCTCGCCACAGCCCCGGGACGACGGCGCCCCCGCTGGGTATCTGCCCCCGGCTGGCTCTGCCGTCCTCATGGATGCCCTGAACAGCCTCGCTGCCGCGGACTCGCCTTGTGGGATCCCCACCAAGATGTGGAAGACCAGCCCCGACCCGTCGCCAGTGTCTGCGGCCCCGTCCAAGGCCGGCCTGCCCCGCCACATCTACCCGGCGGTGGAGTTCCTGGGGCCCTGCGAGCAGGAAGATAGGAGGAACTCAGCCCCTGAGCCCATCTTGCTGGTGCCGCCCACTTGGCCCAAGCAGCTGGTGCCTGCGATTCCCATTTGCAGGTGAGTTGGGCTTTCAAAACCACTTATTCCACGGCTTAGTGTTAAGAGAAGGTTTTCTGGTTATGAGCATGGGATTCAGAATTGGCTAGACTGGATTTCAATCCTGGCTCTCCATTTACTGGCTGTGAGACCCTGAGAAGGAAGTTCAATTCTCTGAGCCACAGTTTCCTCATCTGTAAAATGGGTATAAGGTTACCTGATTTGCTGGGTAGCGGTTATGAGGATGCAGTCATAGGGTCAATATGATACTGATATGGCACCTGGCTCGCTCATTCATTCATTCATTCATTCAGGAAGTATTTATCAAACACCTACTATGTGCCAGGCATTGTTACAGGTGTTGGGGAGATAGTGGTGAACAAAATAAGCAAAAATGTCTGCCTTCATGGAGCTGGCATTCTCGTAAGCACAAAGCAAGCCTTAGCACATACAATTCGCTATCTTATTATAAGAGGGATTGATATTTGTTGGTATCTGCTATGTACCTCAGGACTGCAACCAGTGATACGGAGGCTCTCAAAAATGTGTGAGCCATAATCCTCAAGGAGCTTAAAATCTTGGCAGGCTGAAGAGATGCAGAGAGCAGTGTGTAGGCTTTAGGCTCTCTCAGGATTGGATTTGAGCCTTGGCTCTGCCATTCACTGGCTGTGTGAACATGGGCATCTCGGGTGCTTCCAGCCAACTGTGCCCATAATAGACATCACTAATCACATGGGGCCATCTTTCTCATTGAGCGCCTTTTTGATGCCATGCCCAGGGCAGACACTGCTAATCAATCAGGACTCTCCTTTTTCCTGAGCACATTTTTGTGCCCTGCCCAGGGCAGACATCGCTAATCAATCAGGGCCTTCTTTCTCTCTCAGCACCTTTCTGGACCTTGGTTCATTCCCTGGGTGAGATGAGGGTAGTAAGAGTATCTGTCTCATGGTGTTCTTTTCAAGGATTAGGTGAGATGATATATGTCAAACTCTTGGCATAGAACCTGCACAAAGTTAGAGCTCAAAAAAGGTGCAGCTTTCATTGTTATAGGCGAATCGTCTTACAGAGGAGGCACTTTAGTTGCTTCCTCATTGACGAACTCCTTGTGCTAGGAGATTGCGCTCCCAATAGCCTTCAGAGTCATGATAGTGACTATAATAATCACCAGTATTTAAGGATGCTTGCTATGTGTGAGGCAGAATTCTAAGTACTCTGTATGTACTATTTTATTTCATTATCACATAACCCCGATTTGGTGTTATTTTTATCTTCATTTGGTGATAAGAAAAAGGAGGCACACAGTGGCTAGGCACAGATATTATCCTGTCTGTTCTGTTAGATGAAGAACCTGAAACCTTATGCTATTACCATTAGCCCAATGGGTTTCAAAGTGTTGTTTACTTTCAGCAAATGGAAGCCTTTTTTTTTCTCAAATAAAATGTTGACTACCAAAATAGCTGATGGTAGAGCATTTTGATTGATGTGGGGTTGAAAGTAGCCTGACTTAACCCCACATGAGACTGAGATGAACCAAAATGAACTCCTACTCTGACATTTCCTCCAAAGCACGTTTTGAGAACACTAGTGCCACAGTCAGTCAATCGGGGTTCCTTAAGAAAAGGTTTCTGGGTTTAATAGAGTTAAATAGATGCCTTTGCGCAGGGGCCATGCCCACCTATGGACAGAATGTGAAGTGATTTCAAAGACTATTGGGCCACAGAGCTCCGAGTTCTGTGACTAACATCTCAGAGAGCCACCTTAGGAAATGCTGGTGAGGACCAACCCCTGGCATAGGCTGAGCCACCTGGGCTCAGAGAGGTGAAGCGGCACGCCCACGAGCACCCAGCTAGTTAATGACTGAGTTGGAAATTAGAGCTCAGGATTCCTGACTCCTGGTTCTTTCGTCTACATCTCAATCTCCAAAACACGACTTATGTAACGACTGGGAGCGGAGAGGAACATTAATGTAAAATATGGCTGAGCTGCATTTATCGGAGACTTTATTGTTTATAAAATCCTTCTTTCTTCAGCCTGTGGCTTGATCTGAGAGGTTCTAATGTGTTAGAGTCCTTTAGTCCCCACCAAGTGCCAGTTTGTGCCAGCCAATGAGGTATTTGCAATACTTATCTATAGGATCGAAAAAAGGGGCCATTCGTGGAAGTCTCAGGATAACATTTATCTCAGGTTGTGTGGACAGCTCAGCAAGAGGGCTGGAATTCAAATGCAGGATTTCAGACTGGCTCCAATGGTCTGATTCTTAAGATTGTATTTCAGTTGTCAAAAACTTATTCCAGAATAAGGAAACTTAGAAGTTGATAGTTAGGGATAGCCCACCGAATCTTCTACACAACTAAATTTTTTGATGCTTCAAAACATACAGGGGTGGAAGGATTTTTTTTTTAATGAGCCTTATTTTACAAACTTAAAAAAAATTAATGTGCAAAGATGATCAGAGAAAGAGTATTTAACACCTGTGGCACCTTGGCTGCAGGTAGGAGCTTGAAGGCACGTTGGCACTGTAGTTAAGATAGAAATAAAGGCACTTTGGGCACCCTAAGACTTCAGTATAAGAGGGGCTTTAGGAGGCAGTGTGGTTGGAAAAAAGGGATGAAGATTTGCTTGCAAAGTGAGGATATAATTTTAAGTGGGTCTATAAATTCAAGTTGGACTCTGGCACTGATGCAGTTTTTGAGGTGCCATCTCCTTCCATCCCCCACTTTGATATTGCTATGATAGACAAGGGATAGAACCAGCTTCATTGAAAGTGCTTAACTAAGTCTAGTTGATAATGTCAGTTTCTAGCAGCTCTGGACTTAGTGGGAAAAAATACCCTGATTGGATTAACGATTTCTGCCATATGTGAAAAATCAGGACGTAGTGACACAAATCCGTGCGTTTGAACTTCAAAGCTACAGTGACTATCCAGGGATTCTTTGAAATAAAACTGCTCGTTTATTCATTCGTTCATTCATTTATCCATCCATCCACCTACCCACCCACCCCCAGCCACTGAATACTCTTGAGAACCTCTCAAATGTATTGTTCTAGAGTCATTCCACAAATGAGATATTTTCTTGGAACTATTTTAAGTAAATTAGTAAGATATGAGTCTGTATAGATGTGGGTGGAGCACTGGACTAGGAGTCAAGAGACGTAAGTTGGAGCCTTGGTGGTGTCTTGCTCTGTGATCTTGGGAAAATGTCTTTAGGTTCTCTGAGGCTCTGAACGAATGGTCTACATAGAACGGCAAGACCTCAGTCAATTTTTAAATGACATAATTCCAGCCACATATCAAGTACCCGTTGTGTGTGGTGAGTAAGGCTGAGATTCTATAATAACATAAAACTTAATGGCATGCCCTCAAAGATCTTATGACTTCAGATGAGAAGGCATGTAAAGCTAATATCGCAACTAAGTCAGATCATCTACAGGGAATAACGATTTGAAGTATGCAATATGTATAGGAAAAAAATATTTTTTGAGCACCTATTGTGCTAAGCTCTTTATATAAAATCTCAGCGTCCCCCATTTCACAGTTGAGGAAACTAAGGCCTAGGGAAGTAGATGCATTTGCTCAAAGTCACACAGGTGGTTAGAGGTGGAGCTGGGACTTGGGTGTGTAACTCTAGTCATGCTTTTGACTTTTACTCTTGACTTAATATTAGGGGGTCTGATTGGTTTGGCTCATCCATACCAAAAGCAGACACCTCTCTGTGGTTGGATGTTCTGCACTTGACATGATGCATAGTAACTGTGACTGGGAAAGACACTCTCCCTAAAATTTACTTTTAATTGAGATCAACAGACAGAGAGGGATAAGAGCTGAAGCAACTCTCAGATGCCACCTAGTCCATTTGTTATGTGGTTATAGGAGACGGAGGATAAGAAAGGGAAGTTGCTTGCCTAAAGTCACATGGCATGTTAGTGACAACGTGGGGTTCCTGATTTCCATGTTAGTGTTTCTTCTTCTATACATACTCCTCTGGAAAAGCAAAACATCCTGGATATGGGGTTTTTTTTTGTTGTTGTTTTTTGTTTTTTGTTTTTGAGGTAGGAGGTGATACTCTTCAAAATCCCCAGAGGAAAAGAAGTTACAGCAGTTAGCAACATGCTAGAACTAACAAATAATGAAATTAGCTTCATGAATTCAGATGTCAGTCCCACTGTCTCCATCCAGATGGAAGAGAAAGCAAAGAAAAAGATCTCTGTATTGCGAAGAGCCTTACCTGTCATGTCTGAGAAACGTGCTTCCTAACAGCCAGCATTCTATTCATATGCCCACTGGGCACTTGGTTTTCAGAAAAGGGGCCATTTATGTTTATTGTACAGGTTGACTGATTCTGATTTATTGTACACAGCACTGATTCTGTTTTCCTTTTTCAGTATCCCAGTGACTGCATCTCTCCCTCCGCTCGAGTGGCCACTCTCCCACCAGTCAGGCTCCTACGAGCTGCGGATTGAGGTGCAGCCCAAGCCACACCACCGCGCCCACTATGAGACAGAAGGCAGCCGAGGGGCTGTCAAAGCCCCAACCGGTGGCCACCCTGTGGTTCAGGTATGGTCTTGGCTTCTTTTTATTTTGTGTTCCTTATTTGTTACTAGGTGATTCACTTGTGCTAAGCCACTGCCTGTGGCTTGTTAGGTTGAGGTGTGTGACTCAGCCTTTTACTTCTCTGAGGGATGGGAAATTCAAGATGGAGTTAGTATCTGAAACGAATCCAGCTACTGAGAAACCAGAGAAGAAAGTTTTTTTGAGCTGGATAAGGAAAGAAATGATATTCATGCTTACTCTTCCTTTCTCTTTCTGGTGGAGATACTGCTAGAGTTTTGCAGACGTTTGTGCATTGACAGAAGGTTTCTAAAGCCATCATTTTGTGTTTAAATTTCAGATGACAGTCTATAGAGGAAAATCAATGTACTCTTGCAAAATATAGAAAAGTAGGAAAAATGAAAACTATACATAGTCAAGCTACCTAAAATAACTATTATTAGCATTTTGATATATTTCCTGTTGCCTTTTTTTCTGTTTATAAGCATGGCATTGTCTATGACTGTACATTTATGTATTTGACGTTATAATAGTTTGTACTCTGAGTTTTTTTTTTACTTTGCATTATATCATGAGCATTTCCTCCTGTTTTTTCTTAATAGTCATCTTTTATGTCTGTGGCTTTTAATTCAACCTCAGATTTTTTTTTCTATAAGTAGAGAAGTATTTTCTTTCTCAAAAATCATCAGAGTTGAAATCTTCTTTGTTGTATAGTTTAGTTAATCAGCAACTGCTGACCTACCAATCGACTCAATTAACTAGACCGTCAATACACTTAAATTAATTTAACATTTTTTGTATTTGCCTTAAAGTGAGAATTCTATGATGAGAATCTGGTGCAGCATGCATCAGAACCCTCTCGAGTAGTTGTTAAAAATATAGATTCTTGAGCATTCCCTGAAACTATTGTACTTAATTAGAATCTACAATACATGGCATGAGTAGAGTTTAGACAACAAGCAAACAAACCCAAATCCCCAAAATCTCCACAGGTGCTTTGGGTGTGTATGCCTGGTTAGGAACTTTTGTGATAATATTAGGAACTGATAAGTCCTGGCATTTGTTTTTTCCTAAATCTGACATCACAGCCATCTTGGGATCTGTTTCTGTTCATTGCTCCTTTTCCTTGGCCATGAGTCACATTTTTCTTTTTCTTCGCGAGTCTAGTAATTGTTGACTATATTCTGACATTGTGGTGATACTATATACAGGACACTGCAGAGACTCTGGATTTTGTTATCTTCCTCTAAAGGCGTACCTATTCTGGGATGGGTGCCTCCTGGCTTGGAGGATGATGTTAGTCTGTGTTTTGGACTCAGGTGTAGACTACCTGAGTCCAAGCCTTTGGTGGTAATAGAGAAACTCACTCAAAGCAGATTAGAAAAAACAGGATTGTGTGAGGAGGCTACTGGGCTATTGCAGAAAACGAGACCAAGAGATTCAACTCAAGAAGAACCTGGGCTTGGGAAGTCATGGCTCAAGTTACTTCTTTGCTCAGTGAATCCATTCAGCAAAGGGGTTCATTCTGCAAGTATTTGTTGGGAACCTACTTTTTGTCATATACTGTGCTTGATACTGAAATATATACTGAAATATAATGAAGAATAGAAACGTTATGAT